ATACTTAAATACTGGGATATTTAGCAAGCCTAAATATCCATTCTGCAGTTTACATTTATTTGATTCTGGAATAGCAGTATGCCTACTCAAACTGCAAAACAAGAAGCATATTTGTGCATTCAGCTTGCTTTGAAACCACCACAATGTAAAAACCTGTAGAACATCCCTCCTCTGTTGTCTCTGCCCAGCTACAAGAGCATGCACATTTCAGTACCATGCCAAAGAAAAACTGGCTGTGCTTCAGCCACATCAGATCAAAGCTGTCCAAGGAACTCACAGGCTCTGCAAGCAATGCAAGTGATTTAGCAGATTAGCTTTCAATTCATCATAGAATCAGCATCCTGGAACCATTAGAAGACCTTGCACTTCAGGAATTGCCTTTTTATTTATTTATTTGCCAAAAGAGTGGAAGAGTTCCCCAAGCACTCAGTGGCTGGCTCATAATTTCACAGCATGGCCCAATCTGCCCCCTTTGGGCTCACACTCAGCTAAGCACAATCACACCAGTTCACAAGTGCAATTTCTAAGTCCTCACAGGCATCTGTGAGAACTTAGAACATTTGAAGCTGATGACAGATGTTATTGTAACTGTTTCCTTAAGGAAAAACAAATGGCTTGAGCAGATTTCAAATGAGGTCTATAAATGAAAGCTGAGGTACATCATGACTGCCAAGACTCAGCCATCAAAAATAAACTTGCTGTACACAGCAAACTGTCTTCCAGAGGAGCACCTGAGAGTACCCATTTCTTCCACTATTATTGGACATAGGTAAACAAAAGGAACTGTGCTTTATTTACCAGGTCATATTTGTCCACTAATCTGAATTGTTCAAAGAACATAAGTGGTAAGAAATGCATTTCAGCAATATATTTTGAGGAAAAGAATGCACTGCAGAAAGCTGTTTAAGTAAAAGCCTCACCATCATAGAAATAACACAGACCTGTGCTGTTTTAGAAATTAAATAATTCAGACACTGCATGTGCCAAGAGATAATGAAACATATATCTGAGCAGATTACCAGTAAATTAATTTTACCGACCATGAAAAGTGTTTAGATAACACTGAAAACTGAAGGGACAGCAGTAAAATTTCCAACAGGCCTCAACTCATATTTGACAAAGAAAAATCAGTTCCTGAGAATTCAAGTACTGTGGCCTCCAAGTCCTGCAATGAAGCAATCCAAACATATCAAACAGTGTAACCACAAGTACAGACATACTAAACCTCCATGAGGCATTGGAATGAAGGGACCAAAATGTGCTCTGTAAACCTCTCAATGTATGGAGAAGATTATGTCCCATTAGTCAGCATCCCAAGTGATCTGAGTTGTTCACTTGGAGGGAAACTGCCCCACACATTACCAATGCTCTGTGCAAAATTCAGAAATGGCAGAGATTTGTTACATTGCTTTCACTGACTTCAAAATAAATTGCACATTATATCCAACTAAGCAATCACTACAGACAATGCTTTCTCCAGTGCTTCCCACCCCAACTCCACAGCACTTCCTGAAACTACAGCACATCATTCCCACACAAACCTATACAATATATATTTATATATATACACACCACTTCCATCAATCCTTTTATGCCATTCAATGTCCCATGTAATTTCTCACATAATGAGAGTTTAGCATTAAATCACTTGAAAATCTCCCAATTTTCCATTTTTGCAGAATTTGGCTGCTAGATTCTACATCTGCACTGTGACTTCAGAGCAATAGGATAATGAGCAGGACAAACAGTAGGAATTATTTAAAAAAAAAAAAAACCCAAACAGTATTTGCTGCAAGTGGTGTATTCTAACCAAATAAAAAGTACATTGATCATTAAAGAACTAGCCTGAAACATTTCCAGTGAATGCCAGTCTGCAAGACTCTCTTAGAATGAGTTTTTAAGATAATCAAGAAAGCAAATATCACCTTTCAAAAACCTAATCTTAAAATTCACAGAAATGCTCCGGCTTTGCTAAACATCTAAAATGTTAAAGACTCCCACACATCCAATCACAACTTGAAACTGACATACACCTCAAACTCTTAGACACACTTGTCTGCTTTCCTAAAAGCACAGAAATTCCAGCTCTACACATCTCCCTCATTATTCTCATTTTAAAGTATAGGGACAGCACATCACTTGCCCATTGCAAAGTCTAAATTTCTAATGTTATAAAGGAATTCCAAGTTTTTACTTTATTTACTTTTTCCAAGTAAACAGAAATGCTGTAGCAGTAATGGAGCCTTATCCAGAGAAGTGCTAAAATATCTTAGCTCCTCCTCTCTCCTTTGGCAGAGCTCAGCACCTGACAGACTGTCCCTGAAAGGAGATGTGGTTCCCAGTTGTTGCCATTACCCCAAAACAAATCCTGGCTACTTAAGATATTCCTAAGCTGGGAATCTAAAAGCCACCATCACTAATCAATCATAAAAATCCCTGAAATCAACTGCCAAGAAAGCAACAACAAAATTTAAATTCCACAATGCTAATGCATCAGACACCCATATTTTGACATACAAACACTGGATATCCATGCTTAGAAAAGTCCTTGGACCTCCACAAGGAGTCAACTGCTGCTTTCCAAGGAAACAGGTTGGGGATTTGTTTGCATCTTACATCCAAGCAGTAACAAACCAACAACAGTCAATTTCACTTCATTTCAGAAAAACTGTAAGAGATGGTTTCTTTCTATAAACTACTTTACATCTTTAAAAGTGGAATAAAACCAAAATACTCCAGAACATTTAACTGATGTTTATGCTGATATGCCTTTGTATTTTCTTAGTGTCAAAGTGTCACTCAGAAGAAGCAGCGCTACACAGTTCATTTTCAGAATTTAGTTTCAACTATGACCCTGAAAAAGAACTTACAAAGTCATTTTACTTTCAAATAGCTCCTACCCTTTTGCCAGCACTTAACAGAAAATGTAAGCTAGTCTTAGTGTTGCAAAATATAAGTAAATTGAGGCAAGCTCATCATTCCTAAATAGATATGAGATCATTCAAAAACTAAGACTTAAATCACAAAAATATTTTAACACAATCCTAAACCAAACAAATAAAATATCATAGATAAGAAGGGTCACATAATAATTAAAAAAAAAAAATCAGTATCAGAGTAACATTTCCTAGGTGGATCTAACTAAGATCCTCCACATATATATCTCCCAAGCATTAAAAACTAAATTAAACAGATGAAAACAAATGCATCATAGTGGATAAAAATATAATAAACACTAAGAGATACAGGTGGGGGAACATATGGGGTCTTTGGAAGCAATACACAGGCTGGTTGCCTCACCCTCTTTGAGGGGTGAACAACCCACTCTTTTTTCTTAGTCATCCTTCAAAGGTCAGTAACAATCATCTTTCTAAAGCAAAAGGAAAAATATCACCTTGAGCATGCTTACACAAAAACACATGCTGAATAAATAATTCTCTAAGTATCACATATATTTGGCATTCTAAAATGGTTGTATGTGTTCTTTTGGTATTTGGCTGCTAAGGATAAGGCCCACAGCTTTCTACAGCCTTCAGAGCAGGCAAGGAACAGCAGGAGGGACTGGCATGGATGCTGGATCTCACACTACCATCCACCACAATTTGACTAGCAGTAGATTAGGAGGAGTTGAAGAAGCACCCACAGGATAAGAGGCCACGAGATGGGTCTCGTCCAAATGCTGGCAAACCTCAAGAGCAAGGCTAATGAGTATAATAAGGCATCCAAACACTAACCAAGAAATTTCTCAATTCCAAATTTGAAGATCTACCCCACCCTGGGTGTGCTCATAAACACAGTGTGGGGTTTCTCCATAGTACAGAGATGTAATTTCAACCTGAGCTGGACAGCCATGAACCCCAGGGACTGCCCTTATCTCAACGAGCCTATGGAAGAAATTATGTTCCCTTCACTCACTGGACAAAAAGCCTCTCCTTCCTCCCAGATTCCTCTAGGAAAAGTGAAAATGCTAACTCACCTTGATTCCTTTGAAAGCCATTTTACACAGAGCTTTAAAACAAAAATAACAGCAGCAAAAATGCTTCCTTTAAGGCACTGAGGAGATGTGGAGGCACTTTCACACACAGCCCTTAACACAGTCACCCACGAAGCCAAGGCTTGGACTGCAAGTTTCTTCCATCAAGAAACTAAGAAATCTTTTCCCACAGAAACATATTTCTTAAGGGACCTGGACATACCATTATACACTCTGTGTGCAGAAACAGACCCTTTAAAAAAAAAAAATGGGGGGGGGGGGGGGGGCCCTTTTCCTCCTTCTGCTGGGGGAATGCACTGCTCCAGCACACGGACCGTGAGGGGACTGCGGCTGAGGGGTTTTATGGCCGGTGTTTGCTTCACCTGGGCTGTGGGAGCGTTCGCCATCCCCCGCCCTTCCACGGGGACAGTCCGAGGAAATCTCCTGGCACAGGGACTGGTTTGAGGTCCCGGTGGGGACGGGCAGCCCTGACACGGCCGCTGCGCGGAGCCAGGCCGGGCAGGCGGCCGGGCTCCCTCAGCCCCGCTGCCGAGCAGGAGGCTGGGAGGGCAGTGCCCGATGTTCCCCCCGCACCGGGCTGGGGAAGGGCCGCAGGAGGGCTCTGCCCGCGCCCCCATCCAGGCTGTGGAGCTCTGCCATTCCCGGGGGAGGGAGAAACGGAGGAAGGGAGGAGGGCGGCAGCGCATCCCCAGCATCTCCCCTCAGGGCAGGGCGGCGGGGCTGACACGGGGAATCCGCTCCGTCCTCCGCTTGGCGACGGGGAAACCAAGTGCCAGGGGCGAGGCGACTTGATGGAGAGGAACGTCCCTCCCTTCCCCGCCCCCCGAGGAGGGGGAGCCGGAGCGGGGCCTGCGCCCGGCGCGGCTGCCGGGAAGGGGCCGCGTTCGAGGCGGCCGCCCTGAACACGCACGTGGGGCTGGAGGGCCAGGGATGGGAATAAAAACAAATCCCGAACGACAACAGCTAAGTGAAAGCACTGATTTAGAAAGCCGACCAGAAAACTAACCCTGGCAAGTAGGATTCGCCCTCCCCTTGGCTGCACTTATTGGCCGCGCTCGTGTGCAACGAGCTCGTGTCTGCCAATGCCACTGGTCGGCCCGCGTGTCCATCACCACGGGAAGAGCAATTCGCCGCTAAGGGAATAGATTCCCATCCATCCATCCATCCATCACAAGGCTTAGCAGGTAGCCGCCTAGAAATCAATCACACACAAAAAAAAAAAAAAAAATCCTTCTCCATCAAATTACTACTGTAGTGCTCCCAGGAAAATATCTATTGTATCCTTGGGGAACATAGGCGTGGACTTCATCACATTCATCACTTATCCAGCCTAAAATGATCTTTTCTTAAAAAAAAATAAATAAACCCCAGCATCATAAATGAGGGACCCCAGTAAGTATTCATTAATTATATAACTGAAAAATAATACCCTGTTAGCGTCTGTTTCCATTTGCCAGCCACTAGAAGGGAACAGAAATCTTTCACCGTTTTTCCTGACACGGTTTTTAAAACACCAAACATTATCCATTATTTAAGTATAAAGCTAGGAATTTCCAAAACCCATCAATTCTATTCCAGAAAACTTTAACAACAACAACAATATTTTTAAACACTAGGCACCAAAAAAAAATTTAAAAAACATATTAAAAAATAGAGTCCTATGGCTGCTTTTAATAGAAATTGCAAGAGAGGTTTCTGGTTGACGATTCGGTAGGGAGAGGCACTCTGTTACCAGAATAAGATGTGCACTTGGTCCCATTTATTACAATGTATTTCCAAGGCAATATAAAAAGCCTATTCTGCAAATTCATCTCCAGATTCAGCTACCAGACAGTTGTGAAAAGCAATAGGAGCATTTCCTTAATCACAGTAAATTTACAGTCATGCATCCCAGCCATATTCTTGTTCGAGCTTCTCACCTTTCAAATCATTGCATCTGCCTTCCGTCCTCACATGGATTTTACAACATCACGTTTAGCTGGCATCCCATTTGCGCGGAGGAGGGAGGCGGCAGGGCGAGCCGGAGCCGCGCAATGCCTGCCAGGGGCTGCCGAGGAGGAACCTGCTGCGGCCGGGGGAGGCTCGTGTGCCCCTGTCCCTCGTCGTTCCGTCCCTCAGCGAGTCTCCCTCAGTCAGCTGCGAGCCCGGCTGTCTGGGCTGCCAGTCCCTGACTCAACATTCCCAGCATTCCCGAGGAGCCGGGGCTCCAGCGGCGCGGCGCGGAGCCGCCGGGGGCAGCAGCAGCAGCAGCAGCGGCGGCAGCACACGCACCGCAGCCCGTGATCTCTGCGAGCGGCCGGCCCTGGCCATTCATCGCCAGCCCGCGGGTTCCAGTCCCCACCCAGCCAGCGGCTGCGAGCGTCTTACTCATTGGGAAACAGCCTAAAAATACACCTAGGTCTGCGTAAAACTGCAGAGGATAAATTGCTTTCTCGCCCCTGTTCACCGAAGGCCAGAAATGTTCAAAGGCAGGTGCTTCAGAGCATGATGTCTAAAAAGCCATTGCTATATGCGCGTATTTACATAAACAGAATGAACACAGAAACCTGAATCTGTGTTTGGGCTTAAGTGTCAAAGAAATTAAGATGACATCCATATTTATTTGTGTTTATTTTTCAAAAAACAGTATGCGGGGGGGGGGGACCACAGGATAAGCTGCTACACAAAGCCTGAAAGCTTTTTCCATAAGAAAACTGCAAACTGCATTAAAAATTATTCCTGAGATTTTATTGCTTTTTATTAACAGGAGTGAAAGAAACTTCTCTAAACATCACCAGCATCCTAAGAACAGAGGGTTTGTTCCTTTTCTATTTTTCCCTCTTCTCAATTCTTTTTAGTTTAATCAATTTACATACAATTATAAGTGATCACCTTTGGTCTTTAGCATCAATGCACCTTCATACCTTACCCTAGACAAAATTTCATCAGTCTCCTCCTGATCTCATTGCCATAACAATGATTTTAAGAACAATTTCGGATTTGTAGTTGCTTTAATATAATCTCTATTTTATTTCTCTCTTGCCCACATAGGCATCTATAAATGCCACTATTAAACAGCATTGAGAACAACAGCTTTTATGGAATTACTGTTTAAAAATATGTCAAATCAAATTGATTTCAACCAATTGTATTTAAAATTAGTGTAACACTTTATTGCAGTATCTGAATTATCCAAAGCCAGCTGAAATAATTGGCTGTCATAGGTATTTATTTGGAGATGCTAGAATGTCACTCCCAGCAGGAGCATAGCAGGTTTGAATTTCCCTAAGAAAGGGATACAATCTTACAGTACCCACCTACTTTAGCTATAATTGCAATAGAGGGCAAATACTTTTTCTGAGTTCAAAGTAATGGAATAACCATGATTAAAATGCAGACTTATTTGAAGACATTTCTGTTCAAGTTGTTTCAAAACCATGAAAAATACAGACAGAGAAAATCTATTCCTGAAGAAATTAACAAGAAGGGACATGGTTTTGTATACAAATAATTTCACTTGATCTGAAAAGCAAAGTAGTCCTCAAGAGTTAGCAAGTCTGCATCTGTAAGAAAACGGATAAGCACTATAAAATGTGGGTCACTACACTGTATGCTTCAGAGCACAAGAAGTGTCCATTTTCAGCTTAGCCCTTAATTTGGATTCAGTGTGAAATAAGAACCTCTTCTAGACCTGTCTCAATATTGCTACATCCAATTCTGTCTCAGTATTGTTAATGATGACAGGACTTTTGTTCTAAGAGGTGTCAGCTGCTGACAGTTTTTTAAACAACATGTCACACCATTCCTGTCTATATGAAAAGACAAGGAACATCAGGTTCTGCCTTATCTTTTTTGTGACTCATTCACTGGCAAAGACTGAGGGCCTTGTGATAGCCAGCAAAAGCCAGAAGTGTCCTGACAGAGGACCAGTAGCCTAAGAATCTTCTTTCCAAGGAATAATCACTGTGGGAAGACAGAGAACTGCCATAAGGCTGCAAAAACACTGCAATGAATTGAGCTTGCTGTCATTGAATGAACTTTATAGCAGAGTTCATCACAGCCCATCCCAGAGCTGCAGACCCTCTGCAGGGGACTGGCAGCACTCTATTCTGTGCCAAAGAACAGAATATACCCACCATGGATAAGACCATTGCAGATCTTAGTGTGAAAAAAATATTTTGCCAAATTGTACTCAAAAAGACTTGTTAGAAAAATGTGCAGTTTAAGAGAAGGAGGGGAAAAGTAATCAGAATTTTACAGCTAATCTACTTATTGTATTAGTAGAAACAACATCCATGCAAAGAACCTCAGGGTCACATAATCCAAACCCTTCAATAATATTCATTCCTTATGTTCAAGACCATGCTGGAATCCAAATCCAAAGGGTAGGATAATAACAATTGTGTCCTTAAGGCTGAATTCTTTGCAGCTGATGAAAGTTCTCATTTCAGTCTAATCACAGGACCATCTGTGTTGTCCTCAGTGCCATGATGCAGGTGGGTGCCATTACGCACAAAAAAAAGCCAGATCATCTAAGTAAACTACCACTTTTTTCTTTTTTATTTATTGTAAGAAGTTCCCATTAACTACGAGATATATCTTTCAGCCAACTGTTAGAGGAAAGCAGTCTGTTGTAAAACTTAAACCACTATTTATAATATAAAATGCCATGTGATGCAGCATCTAATGTTTGCACTTGTCAACAGTTTCTATCTTCAAATAGATTTTTGGCTAGCAGACTTCAGTTTATTTGTTTTCTACCTTAAAAACGCAGTATATTCACAGTTCTTTCTGCTTTCACGTCAGGAGCTGCGGAAACCCCACTGAAATTAATAGTGATTTGTTTGGTTTTTTTAAATTTCAATTAGCCCACATTAAGGCCCTAACCAAGTAAAGTAAATATGAAATACAGATTTTCAAGTCTCTTCCTTAATCTACACTATACTTATTTTGGAAGCAGAAGAGTATAAAACATGCTTATTACAACTATCCTATTTACTTATTCTAAGTATAAATAGTTCAAAATAACATATAATGTAGAATGTTACTTACTCTCTTCAATTCCCATGCATCCCTTCATCCTTCCCAATTCTTTCTCCTCACCTGTGGTACTCAGACTTTAGCAGCAGCCAGCTCCCTTTCACGTTTTGGTGAAGATGGATGTTATTTAGTGCTTCATTTCTTTAAAAACAGAAATACAAATAGAAGCTTGGTCCCTGCTGCATAATTCCTAGCAAGCAGCTGCAGGTGTGTGCTTTAAAAACCCAGGAAAATCTATTTCAGCTTTAGTCATTGAACCTGTGAATAGCCCCACCCTATTCCTCTGCGCTTCCCTAACTTGATTTAGACTGAAATTTACAGAACTAAAAAAACAAAAAAATATTGCCTTTACCATGACGTGGTGATCAGATTTCAAGTAAGCACTTGACCCAAAATAAACAAAAAGCCCCAAACAAACAAAGAGATGGAATTAAAATACAATTTCCTGTTGATTTCAGAATGAGGCCCTATCAGTCAAGTCCACAGAAAAGGTACATTCATCAGTCATTAACTATGAACTGTTCTTTCCTATCAGTTTCTATACTCACCTACAGACACCTGTCAAACTGAATTACAAAATAGTTTCCACTACACGTTAAGCTTATGTTTTGCTTTCCTCATGACATATCACCCAAGACTGCTAGAGTGGTTTTAAAAATTATTAGTATAATTTATTCATTATTAATTGACATGATCACATGCTTTCCAAAGGATGTGAAAAATGTTACTTGAATATACCTGAACACACAAGAGGCCATTGAGGAATTCTTTATAATGTATTATAATGCAAAAACAAACAAGGAAAATATACTCATTTGTAATTACATAATTCAGCAGTTTATTGTGTACTGCACAGCCTATATCTATTCAGGATAGAAGTAGAGCTACTCTGGCAGATACCCTTAACATCATAGTTAGAAATACAGCAAAAACACTAAAATAATTTAATAGTAAAAACACCCATCTCACAGAAGATCTCCAGCTTCCACATCTCAAAACAAGGCTGTTAATAGGCTTTTGCACCAACTCTACAACATATTTCAGAGAGTTAAAAATACTTCTTAGGAAAACTCAAACTCCAGAAATTTCTAACAATACACAGCAAAGCCAGCTTAAACATCTTGAATTAGGTTTAACATTTTAAATTTTATCAATGGCACTTTATTTTCCTGGTTGGAAACCTAGTATTACTGCTACCACCATTGTACACATGAATATGTATGATGTCTGTTATAGAGAATTGCTGCTAAATGAGCACTGACTAGCAAATTCTCAGATGCTGGTTTGGATTTTTTTAATCATTTTAGAGATAATTTCCAACTGACTTTTCAATAAGAATTAAGCTTTCAAATGCCAACCTCACTCCTGAAAAGTAAATCCAGATACTAAAATTTTACTTACAAGTGTCAGCACGAGGCACTTCATCTGAAGGCAGCTGAGGTTCTCCTCTCACTTCTCAAGCTGCAGAAAACACATTTCCTTCCCCACTTAGACCTCAACCTCCACAGCAAACCTGGCACGTACAAACACTGGAACTACAGGACTATTCACCCCTACCCACCACCTTTTCCCTGGTGCACTACAGGGCAGTTATTCAGTGAGGGACCCTTTTATTGGCAGCACAATCTCCTCCAATTCTAAACAGCTGAGTACTGGAGCCTGAGGCACTGCCTTAATCACATGCACATGGTGGGAGGGGAGGAGTGGGCCAGGAACAAAACTACCTGAGCTAGGGGAGCTATATTATATCCAGAACAGCAGTCCCCAATGGAAACAAATTTCTACAGTGAGCATGGCCCTATTAGATAACCATAATTCAGGAATAATGTGAAAATAATAAAACCAGTAGTCCTGTATGGCTGCTTTGAAAGTGACACTGAGCCTACTGCTGCTTTCTTCTTTCGTGCTCCTTGTAGATTCTGTTGAGTGTCCAACTGAATAACCAGAAATACAAAACACCTGGCCATGGATGGCAACTCCAGCTCCCACAAAAGTTCATAATTAGCTAATAACTGACATTACATAGCAGGTGTGAGCTTCACACTACTGTTACATTTATAATAAGGT